AACCCCTCCAGGGGTGGGGACTCCACCACTGCCCTGGGCAGCCTGGCACAGCCCTGGGCAACCCTCCAGGGCAAGAAATTGTTCCTCAGGGACAACTGAAACCTCCCCTGGGGCAACCTGAGGCTGTTTCCTCTTGTCCTGTCCCTTGTCCCTTAGGAGCAGAGCCCGACCCCCCCCTGGCTCCAGGCTCCTGTCAGGAGCTGTGCAGAGCCAGAAGGTCTCCCCTGAGCCTCCTTTGCTCCAGGCTCAGCACCCCCAGCTCCCTCAGCTGCTCCTCCCCACACTTGGGCTCCAGACCCTTCCCCTTGAGAGGTGTCTTGCTGTTGTGTGACTCCCAGTGTTGCCTCTGCAGCAAGGAGCTGAAGAAGATGCAGGAGCAGGATGAAGATGCAACTCTGACCCAGCTGGCCACGGCCTGGGTGAACCTGGCCATAGTGAGTATCTTCAGAGGCATCTCCAGCCTGCAACCTCTGAGAAACCCCACTCAGGTCTCCTTCCTCCTTGCTCTTTTCACATCATGTTTTCAGAAAAGCATGCAGGTTTTTTGATGGGTTTTGGGTTGTTTTTTTGCCCCTTCCTTCAAGTATGCAGAAAATCTTGGTAGCTGGCTTCATAAATCAACTCTCTGTGTTCCTTGTCAGTCTTTCTCTGTGCTCCTTGGCCTTCAGCTCACACAGGGAGGAGCTGAACCACACTTCAATAATTCACAAAGTGGTCCTGGCAGCCAGACTTGGCCATTAAACCCCCAGAAAAAAAGTACAAGAGCTGCTCTGAGCAGACTCCTGAAGGCTCTGTGTGAACAGGACAAGGACGTGCACTCTTTGGCAGTGCAGATAATCAAGGGCTTGCAAATGGACCTCACTGAATTTTAGGAGGGTTTTTAATGTTATATGTGTAATAACCTGTTACACTCTTGAATTGTTTCAACGTTCTCTTGGCTTTGTTAGGAGATGTCTCATACCCAGCCCTTGTGTGGCCAGATTCTCCTTGAGATCTTTGTTTCCACCTTTAACTGGTGGCAGCTGCTGCCTGTAGAACCTTTCTGAAGCCAGAACTTTCTGAAAATCCAGGTGTCTGTGCCTGCATTTCATTATTCAGCTCTCATTTCACAATCCTTTCCCACGTCAGGCCTCTGAAGTGGTTCTTCTGAAGTGGTTTTTCTTTCTGAATGGAAACCTGGGTCTTTTGATCATTTAATTAGCTCTTAATATGGAATATTTTTGCCTTTCTGTCCCCTGTGGGCTGCCAGGGAGGTGTTGTGGTGCCAGCAGCTGCTGGGGTGGGTTCCTACGTGTCCCATACCTGTGCTGGGTAACCCCAGAGGGGAACTTTGCCCCTGGTCCTTCAACCAGAGCAGGAACGTGCCGTGGAGCTGTGGGTGTTTGTCTCCTCCCCTTGCAGGGTGGGGAGAAGCTACAGGATGCCTACTACATCTTCCAAGAGATGGCAGACAAGTGCTCCTCCACCCTCCTCCTCCTCAACGGGCAAGCAGCCTGTTACATGGCCCAGGGCAAGTGGGACGATGCTGAGGGAGTCCTGCAGGAGGCCCTGGACAAGGTACTCCCTGGTTTGGCCAGGCAGCTCTTCTCTCAGGGGAATAGAGAGAGAACCACTG